ACTCACCACCACCACCACCACCACCACCACCACCCATCACCCACCCGCTACCCACCTCCTACCACCACCACTACCACCTCCACCCATTCGCTACCACCTACCACCCACCACCGTCACCCATCCACCCACTACCACCACCCGCCACTACCACCACCACCACCCACTCGCTACCACCCATCACCAACCCGTCGTCACCGTCACCCACCCAGCCACCACCACCCACCCCACCACCATCCACCACCACCCGCTACCCACCATCACCACTTTCCACCACCGTCTTCTGCCGCCACTTGCCACCAATTACCATTTCTTATTTTTTTTATATTTTAAATTTTTTAAGTATTTTATCAATTACCAAACACATTTGTAATTTATATTTTTTTAAAAATAAACAAAAATCAATTTATAAAATTTTTATAAATATAAATTAAAAACGTAAATAAATGTTACAAAACGGTACGTAGTGTTACAGGGAACTAACTTGTCCTCTTCTTCTTATGGTGCTCGCGGAGGTTTTTCTCTCATTCTATCTTTCTTTCTTGTTTAATTAATTTCCTTAGTTAGTCTTTCTGAATCTTGTGTTGTGTCATCGGAAATGCGATGCGAGGGCATTTGATTGACACTGTGAGACTTGCTATTGAATTTATTAGGTTTGGAGGAGGCTGTCGCGGCTACAGTTCGAGCATATCGTTCGAACAAAAGATATTGAAACTGGAAGAAGATAATCAGCTGGCTGAAGAAGAGATAGCCAAGATTCGGCGCGAATTCGATGCTGCAAAACAGAGTTTTTTCAAGATTCCTGACGCTCTTAAGGGAATGCAGAAGATGGATCCCAATGGTATATTAATCTTTATTTGTTTACTACTTTTTAATCATTTCTTCATTCTTTTAGTTTATTATTATTATTTTTTAACTTCTTGTATTGATTGCCTTTTTCATAATGGCAATTAGGTATATATGTCAATAAGAAACTGAGATTGGAGAATATTCAAGTTTATGGCTTTGACTATGACTATACATTGGCACATTACTCTGCTAACTTACAGAGTTTGATATATGAGCTTGCCAAAGAACATTTGGTTAATGAGGTCTGGTACTATATTGGAGTATTGCCTTATGTTATCAATGTTGATGTTTTATGAGCTATGCTGAGTACTCATTGCGATTTTCATCTTTTTGGACTATGTTGTTGTGGTGCTTTCAGCTTAGGTATCCTGATAGTTGCTTGGAATTCAAATATGATCCCACCTTTCCCATTAGAGGCTTGTACTATGACAAGCTAAAAGGGTGCCTTTTGAAGTTGGATTTCTTTGGGTCAATTGAGCCTGATGGATGCTACTTTGGTCAGCGCAAGGTACTTTACTGTATGCATTTTCAATACTTTAAAGAATCACCTAGATTAAGTTATGACAGGGAAAATTAGGAGGGTTGGAAAGGATTTTACTTTGGTTGGCTTATCGTTTGCCTGGAATCTTGATTTCTAGGTCAGCAGAACTATCTCTGTAACTTTTATTTATTTTCTGGTTAATTGCGCTTGGTAATTTTTCTCTTCTTGCCCTGAATATGCTTTTTGTTTCTGATTTCGTAGGCCTGCCTTATTGCTGATATTGTGCAACATTTTGTTGACGCAAAGCTCGAGTTTGATGCACCCTATGTCTATCAAGATGTAAATCGTGCAATTCAGCATGTTCACGGAAGTGGCTTGGCTCATAGAGGAATTCTATCTGATCCGCAAAGATACCTAGTTAAAGATGTGCGCGACGATGAACTCTGTTCTAATATTTGTATAATTTGCTTTTATTGTTTGAGGTCTCCTGTTCTTAACTCATTCTCAGGTTAGTGATGGCTCATTGTAAAATGGGACAATGGCTATACTAGTATATTTGGTTAATTTTAATCTATTATACTGGACACTTGAAAAATTGTTATTGTATGGTTAAACCTTGGAGAGTCAACTGCAACGCTTTCTCAGGATGCTAAAGGAAAATGGGAAGAAACTTTTCTTGTTGACCAACTCTCCGTATTATTTTGTGGATGAAGGGATGCGTTTTATGTTAGAGGTAACACTCAGAAGAGATATCCCCTGATCACCTTTATTTTTATATTCTTTTTGTATTTGCATCCTTCTACATATTGCTGGAACTCCTGGAGATTTTTTCTAGTTTCAATTTGGACTTTGTGGTTACTGTTTTTGAAACTGAACTTTTGTCATGGTGATTATTGCTTGTCGTTTAATTATGTATAAACTTTCCTAATTTTGTCAGCATTCTACTTTTCTGATTTGCCTATTGTTGACCCGTGTTATATTAAATGCAAATTGCAAACCATATACAGAAAACTGTATTGGGTAAGACACGTGCATATAAGAGCTCTAAAGAGAGCTCCAGTAATGTGGCAAGGAGTGGGGCGCACATGTGACGTGACGTGATGTGATGTGTGTGCCTATGTTTTTTTTTTTTTCTCTTGCCACTTCACTAGAGCTCTCTATCATTGTTGGTTTAGTTAAATGTAAAAAAACATTGACTACATTAATGAGTAAGAAGTATATATTCCACACATGGGGGTAAGACTGCATATATTTAACCCTCTCTAGATCCACAGTGGCGGGAACCTTGTGCACTGGGACTGCCCTTTTTGATGTAGGATAAATGACATCATCATAGATGGCATTATGTGGATGCATGTACTGGACAATTAAAGAATGAAAAAAATTTGTAAACGTTGAGTCGTGTGCCTTCTAATGTAGAAATCTTCTTGTGTTCACATGACAAAAACTTTTGTGGCTCCTTTCTTTTGATTGACTAACTTTAGATATAAGTTTGGTGCTGGCTTCAATTGAAATGTATGATCTGAGTCAGTATTCATGAATATAAGAAAATTTATGTATTTTTTAATAGGCCATATAAGAAAATTTATTCTACCTGTTTAATACTAGAATCATGAGTTCAATTAAAATTTATCCTCTTATGTCCAAAACCATATATTATTGACTTTAATTTAAAATATCAAGTGTGATCATTCCCATCCAATCAAAAAAGCTTCTTCCCCCCCCCTATTGGATGAATGGATTTCCTGATTTTGATGAATTGCAAGATAGAAAAAATCTTTGTTTTTTTTATTATTATCAATTTTATCAATTATTTGAGTCTTAGTATTTTTATTATTGTTGGCATCAATATTATCAATTCAACTTAGGTTGCATTCTTAGTTTTTTTGTGCCATTAATGATAGATTTTATAGAAATGGAAATATAACACTCAATTATACAGTTTGAACACAAAACCTTTACATATGGTGGAATGACATATTCCATTAAATATAGTTTATACATATATATTCTCTGGAAGATTTGTGTGCTCAATGCAAAAGAACTGAGTTGTTCACGAACAACTCAA